ACATGAGAAGCCAGGTGCGTTTCACGTCCGCTTCTGGGAGAAAAGCAAAAAAAAAACCAGAGCAGATGCAACTTGGGATCTCTCATGCAATGCATTACGAAAACGCGTTGAAACAGGCTAGGCGAACTTAAATCAATTTATTATTGACATAGTTCTAATACATCTAACCTTATAGATACAACTAAGGATAGATACAAAACAATCTTCGTTTCAAAAACATATTTAGTAAAAATCTAATGAAATAAAAAGATACTAAGCTTAGTCATTTCCCGGTATTTGTAAAAGACACAGACAAAAAAACATTTTTTTTTTATGAAGAGAAAAATTTAATGTCGATGCCGAATACAACACAGAGTTTAACTTGGCCTATTTTAGAACATAAGATAAAATAATTAAAAAGTTAATGATAAAATCTGAACAATTTATTATCCATTAGACACGTCCCAGAAGCTTACGCTAAGCAAGATTAAACTCCCACGTGTCTAATAAAAAAATAATTTGATTTAAAAATTAATTAAAATTTCAATTAATTTCGAATTAACATATATTTAGGTCAAAACCTATTGTAATATAATACTTAGGTTAATTAAAATAGAAAATCTCGACAATCAATTTTTCAGTTTTATTGTTTTGACATTATATTTTTTTGGTGAATACGTAAGAATAGAACGTATCTACGTAATAGAATGATGGATATATTGCATGAGAATAATTTTTTAAAATAGTAGACTGTGAACAATTGAAAATGATATTAGTAAACGTTTTCCATAATACTATCCTGTGCAGTACGGGTCTCGGAATAGATTTATCACCCCAATATTACTTTAATAGAAATATATAAAAGTAGTAATAAATTGATTTACTTAAAAAAATAAAGACGTTTTCAATATGCATGAAAACGGAATGATGAGGGTGCGAAAGGCCGAAATTTTCTCGAACTTTTTACTTTTATTTTTTCTCGGTAAAAAACTTTTTGACTTACGTTTGAAATAGGATTATTTTTTTTCTTTCTAAAACGAGAACAAAAGTACTGTGAGGACCGCGAAGAGGAAATTGGGAATAAGTAATAAAAAAATCAGCCTCAAGCAAACTGCCAAGATGTTTCCTTTGAAAATAAATAGGAAATGGAAAATTGTCGAAGTAGTTTCACTATTTGAATAACGAGAAAAAAACTATAACCTTTATTTATCTGATTTTAAGATGCCACGATGATCGCCATCAAAATAATAGAATACTGGACTTAGATTAACCGTGGGTTTCTAAGCGCAAAGTTTCTTTAAAAAAAAAATCTTCATCCATCTCATTATATTTGACAAAACAAAAATAACAATATATTTTAAACAATTTATTGAATAGATACAAAAAGATTATCGACAAGAATTGTGTAAATCTATTTGCTTTAACTTATATCTCTAAAAATACTTACTAGTCTAGTCTAAAACTACGAAGTATGGTTACACATTTCTTACTTATCTTGTACTCATTGCAAGCCTTAAGTATTTAAATGTTACCTAACAATATCATACTATAAAATAAATTCTCGAAGTTTCGAAATGTTTTTCTTAAAGAGATACTTTGTAAAATCTTTTTAAAGAGGATTCCGTCTCAGATTTTTACCTGCATTGTACACCTGCCGCTGGTTTGAACAATAAAAAAAGGTTGCAAAACTTGTAAGAGTTGCAGTATAATTAATCTACGTTTTTGTTAACTTTAAATTGTATTAAGTTTAAGAAACTAATAATTTGTATGTTACAACCTAATAAACTCAGCAAAAACTTGTTTTACTCCTTTGAATATAAATATTGACACAAAAAGCTATCTATGAATAAACCTATAATTAAATATAATTTAAATAAATAATAAAACAAAAGGAAGGTTTTAGGTAATTTTAAAAATAAGAACTTATTCTGCACAAAGCAGATGCTCAGAAATATCAGTATCTTTTATTTTGTTTTAAGCAAAAAGAATGCTGCAAAGCTTTTAGTGTACGTCCGGCACATTGGAAAACAAAAGAGATATCCCCAAGCGCCTTGTCAATCCCTATTGAAAGGATGAATGAGGGAATTATGTAATAACATTCAGACACACTATACAAAGTGCTGTTAAAGAATTTGCTACGTTCCAAAGATAAAAAAAATCAAAAGAGAAAAAAAATTATGTTATCAACAGATGTTTATATAAAAAATGTATTGTGAATAACGAAATATACGAGTATTATTGTTACATACTGGAAACAAAATTCCAATGTTTTGTTGAAAATATTTCTTATTATTTACAAGTTATTTATAAGAAACACTTTTTTAATGCATTCAGCATCCAATTTTTTTTTTATATCATAAGGAGGCAAACGAGCGAGCGGCCACCTGAAATCGCTGAAATAGCGAAGTGACCGTTGCCCATAGACATACGCAATTGCATATGCGTTGCCTACCTTTAATCGACGGAGGAGAGGACGCACAGAAAGAAAATATTTTCCCTTTTCCATGCATCCTCTCATCCGGAAAGTCCACTTCCACTTTCCATCCTTTCTTTATAAGAAAAAGGGTGGGAAGGAAAGAGGACTAATTTTGGCCTCCGGGACGCACACTCATCAGAAGAAACTTGGAATTGCTTCCACTTCACGCCTGTCTTCTGTGTGGTTATGGTATTTCACCGGGCGAGCCGGGCCAATTCGTGCGAAGATGTTAAAGCGGGCTCTACCACTGTTTTTTAAACATATGCTAAAGATGAATTATTGCATCACGAACTATAATGGATCGGTGTCGAAGTTTTACTATCTTATCCACTGGTTACCTAATAACCATGTCATCCTACAAGGAGTCAGCGCATCAGATTTTCATCCAGACATGTCATTCGTTATGTAATGTCAGCCTTAAAATTCTTTCGTCCAAAATAGCTTTTGTTGGACACCTTTAAATACGATTATAATAAAGCTGTTTTAAAACCCCCAAAAAAAAAATTTCCCTGAGTCTACTTTAAAATAATTAAAAATCCATATTTCAGATTTATTATTACCTACAACAAGAGTTTAATATTTCTTACTACTTATACATATTTATAATTCAAGGTCAAATTATCCCAATCACATTCATTCAACTTATCGCAGCAACAAACATGTCGCAAGAAAATGCATTGATTGGTGCCAACTAGTCTAGTACTAGTTTTAGCAATCAGATTTTAATCAATCAGATATACGAAGTAAAATTGCTTGAATGTGCTATCTTAACCTGGGAAGCTTGTGAAGATGTTACTAAAACCTTATATTTTATATTCCAATAACATAACAATGATATTTTAAAATACCTGAATTTTGAAACCGTTCGTAAAAAATCATTAATGTTCCCTCAAATGTATTCCAATTTTTGCCGATAGGAATCACTACCCGCGTTTACAGATATTATGTGAGTACATCGCCATTAATTTTAACGATAAATTCTTACGTAACAACACAAAATAATTTATTATTATCATATGACATTCATTTGACCTTCCACTAACGATAAGTGATCCATCCGTCGATATCTATTCGATATTTATTAGACTTTAACAGGGATTTAGAGAAGTTTTAAAAAAAAATCTATAAGATACGTATATTTGAGGTATCTGTGAAGAAAAAATTGCATTGCCCTAACTATATTCATTTTATTTCCCTATAAATTAACACAAAAAGAAAAAGGGAAGTATTGGAAAGGTCGACATAAATCTGAATCACACGATTGGATACAATTGGTTGTTAGTTTTATGAAAATACTGTATGTGCGTAGACAAACAATATTAACAATCTATTCCTACGACTAAGATAAAAAGCATTGCCTACACTTCGAGAAATAAATTGGAACACGCAAAAAATTACTCTATCTTCCATCTCAAAGTGTCCCGTTTGTTTCTCGAAGCGCGTGGGACGAGGGTTTTGACAGGCTTATGACTTATTTCTCAGGACCGATGATAAATTGAGAGGCATGAGATGTTGCTTATGGAATTTACTCATATACGTACGTTATGTGATATTGTTTTATTTTGCAAGTTCTTCAAAATTATCAAACCGCGTAACCGCTTAAAGATTTTTGACTCCATTCAGTAAAAACACGTAGTTTTGGTACTGGAAGGCATGGGCGTCGTCTCGGGTGGGGCAATAGAGGGCAGTTGCTCCCTACTGGAGAATCGAAAAAATATAAAACATCACGATACCCCTCCCTCCTAGATCTAGCTTAGGTCATCGGTTAGCGACACCCTGGGTAGTAGGTATGACCTTTTTTTAACTTATCTCTTTTTTGGACAGTTTAGTAAATTTAATTACTCAAACTGTCACAGAAATGACGAATCAATAATCTATTTTAAAAATTAACAGTGAATACTCTTTTTTCATTAGAGAAAGATATGAAAGATGGAAAGAGGTATCGGTCTACTAAAACAATCTCATTTTAGATTTTTAAACGCTAGTACTTCATATTTGAATCAAGGGATCCAATTGCTTGTTTAACTTGACCATCATTAAAAAAGTTACAGCTTTAATCCTGAAAACATGAAAAAGATGTGGACAGCGATTTAAGTGGAAATATCTCTATCAATAGTTGGGTCGGTTCAGTTTTTCTGTATCTGTTCACCCCATATTGAGAAACATATGCTTACCGTATTGAAGTACCTATTTTAAATTAAAGGTTACACTAACGTGCTCAAAACACAACTTAAAATCGTATTTGAAAAGTTACTTACCTTTATTCTAATAAATTACTTAAATTCAACTTAACAGTAATACTTAAATGTGTAAATATATACGCAAAAGTGTAAAATTCTAAAGTAGTACCTACTTTACTAATTAATATTTAATTCAAATACACAAAACAAACTTAGGCTAGCTTAAGTGCAAGAAAAGTCTGAAATAGAGCAAAAAACTCATCTACCTTTATTTAAAACGTTTAACACAAATAACAAACATGCATTAGTGTAATTAAGATTTGGTGGATGTAGAAAAAGCTGTAAAGCGACAAGAATGTTCTTACCTGTTAACAAGACCAGTATAAACGCCCTCATGTTGATTTTCATCACGGGATTCCGCTAATCGTCAGACGCCAATGATTACAAGAGAAGCGGCGTTGCCATTGTCGTAACTTTGTAAGGCCAATGTTTACGCGACTCAGCTGACGTCCTCAACTACGTTCGCCAAAGCACACACTCGCGCACTGCGGGACCCGCACGCTGCGGTGTCAACGGCCACAAGCTTACGAGAAAAACCAGATAATCGGCGAAAGCTGTCCTCTTCAGATACTACGGTCGTAGCCGCCGCAGCCGATGGTATTACGCGCGGTGCTCATTCATGTTTTTTAACATCGACATCGAAAACTAACTGACAGATGATATCAGTGATGAAAACATGACACGCGACTGGAGAGAGGATCCCGCGCGCAATCTGTAGCCCACGACGGCCGACTCGCGAGTTGCGTGAGCGAGCTTCGTGCCGGCGGGGGCGGCGTGCGGGGTGCGGGGCCCGCGCCTGCGCGCCTCTCCCACCACCCCCGCACCGTCCGCACCGCGCCACCTACAGTATTGACCGACGACGCCTCCTTCCCACTCCTTCCCACATTTCACATCCTTAACTAGGCACTACGAATTCTCCCTTAAAAAATCCCCTTAATACACCCCTCCTATACTATTTGACCAAAAATGAAGTTGACGGACATATCTTAACGACTTCTTTAGATGGTAAAGAGACAAGTCAAAAATCAATGAAATAATTTTTACTTCGTTAAGTATTACGAGCTTTTTTGAAAACAGCTAAATAATAATATTATTGAATATAAATCAAGGCTAATCGACTGTGGCAAAGAATACCCACATTTAAATTAAAAAAAAATTATGATACTCCGATAATGTGATAGCGGTGGAGAGTTATCTAACTTGACATTTTTGATATGGGGGTAGAAATGAAGAAATGATGCTAGCCTATTTGAATCCCCTGCAAACATTGATATCGCAAAAATCTCACTAGATCTTTGCAGTAAAGACGTAGGTACTTAAACATTACTTAATAAGGATCAGCTTTGTTTAAGGCAGGTAACAAATGTTTATCACCATCATTACCATAAAGCTTTATCCACTTGTTAGTAACTCCTGGCTTACAATATACCAGTATAGTAGGGGTCAAAATCATCGCTGGCATAATGTTAACACTAACTGGCGCCAGTAAGCCAAATTAATCTATACGGCCAGTTAAGAACTGGACTGCTGTACTGGCATAAGCTCGTTGCTTTAAGCCGTCGGTTGACAATCGACAAAGAAAATTACTTTTTTTATGCAACGAAATAAATATGAAGGTAATATTTTTTGATTTATGACTTAATATAAAACGTCTGCGTCCTTGCCAAGTAAGACACTGATCTAGTGTCCTAGAGACTATGTCTAGGACCTATTTGGCTTAGAATATTGTTAACGATCGGTGACGTAACGTAAATATTTACGTCATTGCTTATATTTTATAGAGTTTTATGCTAATGCTAGTTCATCTCTTATTTTTATGACATTTCATGACAACTAACCAAATTGTAAAAGTACTTGAAAAGTAATAGAGATTTCCTAGTTTCTTCTTTTTTACAGTGTTTGTCGTTGTCATCAAGTGAAAACGTTCGACGAATTTTTCTCTTAAACATTCAGTTACTTTGTGAATTTTTTTGAAGTTTCGTGAAACACTAATTTTCATGTTCTTGGCTGCTTGTGGCGTTCCAGTTTGAATGTCTACGTATTAAGACTGAAGCACTGCCAAAAATTATGTAATATACTGTATAGTTCTATGTTCAATCGAATACGAACACATTTTTTGGATCGAGTGTGCCATTTCAAATATATATTTTTTTTTATTTTTATAGGTTATCAAACGAGCAGCGAGAACAAGTAGATCATCAACGCCCATGGACATTTAAAACACCATTGGAAGAGCCGTCTAGGGCATGAGATGTAAACTGAGGGTCTGTTTACTCCGACCCCGGGAATATTTGCGAAAAACAATTTTTTTCAACCGATTCGAGTTAATTACCATCAAAACAGACCTTAGTTACATTTAATTGTATTACTTTTTTAAGAAAAAAAAATCAGTCATCTCTATTAGAAAAGGATTAAATGAGTAAAGTTAATAAATTAAATAATTTTATGGTCTAACATTTTTATTTATAAGTATAAAAATCTAAGTTTTCACTGCCTGTCTGTCCAGTTTGGCTTTTGCGGCAGCTTGCGTAAGTTGTTTTCGTATTTCAAACGCAATGACAGCAGCGGCCATACCCGTGTTCAAACTATCCACACCTTTGTGAAGAGGTATATGCAATCTTAAGCCATTGCTATTTACTCCTAATCTGTGGAAACGAAAATATATTAAAAATACTTGGATTTATAGCATTTTTATAAATATTCAACACAATATTAGTGGTTTATAATATGAAGCACAAATTGTTGTTCTGCAAAATCTAGATTTTTTATTTTTCAAAAAAAAAATTAAAAATAATTATATTTAAGCGCCACTAGCCTAATGGATAAGGCTACGGATTTCCGATCAAGTGGTCGAGAGATCGTATCCTTCCATTCGACTGTTGTCGTAAACCATATCCTAGCACAAGCCTAGAGCTTAGTACGAATAGTAGAAGAAATGTTGGAAAATTAACAAAAAAACTGCTCATATTTTCCCTTAAAAAAAATTAAAAAATCAGACTTACCTATAGCTCATTTCACTGACACTTTCAGTCTCTCCACCTATTATTAGTGTAACATGATTTAAAGCTGCGAAATCAACTCCATAATATGGCAACACAGGTATTTCAGATCCAACTTTACTGATTTCTTCTGTTTTGTTTTCAGGAAAATCAGTGTTGCTATCAGCAATAAAAAGTGAAGTGTCAGATGGCAAATGTTGCGGCATTTCTTCCCATTCTATTGAAGGATATATTGGAAGTCTGAAATGAGCTCCTGCAGCACTCCTCAAGACTTTCGAATCCCAGATATCAACACAACCTAGAAAAAAAAACATTCATTAACACATTCAGTGCCACTAACTTTTGTATTAAAAATCATAGCAGCATAGAATGTGTTAACTTTTTTCATAAGCATAAAAATATTTTTTCACTATTGTATGGTTAATTTTCACCAGTATCTATCAAATAAAAATATGTTTCACATTTTTTTAATGCTATTGTTTTTCTATAACAAAATTATATGTATTTCTTACCCTTGCTTACTAAAACTTTCTCACAGCCAACACCAACAGCTGCTCGAAGTATGGCACCCAGGTTACCTGGTACTCTAATATTGTCACATAGAAACTGAAGAGGTAGTGGTTTTGAAAATCTCTTTATTTTATCTGGTGATGGCATTTCAAACACACCTGAAATTTTCAAATAAAATCCCAAAGTTGCTTTATTTTATCTTTTGTAAAGGTGTATGAAAATCATACTGTACTCTTATTTATTTACTCTATTGAAAAAAAAACACATTTAACCAACATTAATTGTCTATGAATTAATCAATTGTTCATAACTTATTTAATAAAAAAAAAACAAATGAAATTGAAAATCAATAGGTAAATTTTTAACAAGAAAATATAAAAATATGTATAAGTATTGAAAATGTTTAGATGAAAAAAGTTGTTTTTATTTACATACCCACAACACCGGGACATGTTTCTACATCTGAGCATAATTCCATTTCCTTATATGGTATTTTATATATCTGTACACCAGTTTTTGGCATAAATGGTCTTATATTATTTAAATCTTCTTTATGACTGAATAGGATATATTGTAAGTTACATTTGGCTTCCAATCCATCAACTATCATACGCCAACCTTCTACCATTATCTGGTTATTGCGTAGCCTTTCCTTTTTCGATTTTAATTTCACAAAGAGTGAGCTGGAAAATGTGTATACAATAAATGTGGTAAAACTATAGAATTCTAGGACACTAGTATCAATTATACTATGGAATTAAAAAAAATAATATAGTTAAATGCATTACCTTATCTTAGAATCATTATCCTTTAACTTTTCAAATATTATTTCATTGTTATCATCAAATACTTTTTTCTGGCTTAGATAAAACAACCTCTTTTTTAATACTGTTTCTTTTTTATATTTAACTTCTTTAAAATTAATTTTTGTATGTGAAGATTCTTCCAGGGTCTCATTGCCTTGTTGAGATGTTTCTTTCTTGGTTGTATTTTTAAAACCATTTGAGTCCAATTCAATGACTTTTTCTTTTCGCAATTGAATATTTTCTTTAGGTTCAAACGGTAATATTACTTTTGCAGGATTTCTGTGCATCCATCTACCATAATACCGAGCAAATCTAAGCGTTGTTGAATAGATTGTAACAGTCTGCAGTAACGGGCGATATAAAGTGTTCGCCATTGTAAAACCTATATATTTACTTTTCCGATTTTATTCAATTTAAATAAATAATTATAACCTATAAATTTACCATAACAATTGCTGACCTGACACTGACAGCTGCCAATATGACATCTAACGTGCTGTGTCACTTGTGTTGCGACTGACACTGACATTTGGTAGATACAGATTAAAAAAGAAGTATTTCTCTCTACATCGATATTGCAACACTAAATATCTATAGATCAAACTAATTCATATAATTTAGAAAAGTGAAATCCAGTATTACATATCGTACGAATAAACGAGTCACCTTAATTCAAATAAAGATATTCAGAAATGTTAAGAAGCATAGAAAATGCTGACAGATACCCTGGCTTTTAAGGAGGCACGCTTGTTTTTTTTACTATGTAAAAGAACCTTGCTGAAGACAGGACATGTTCCAGTTTTAGGTTCCAGTTGGCGAACCATAGTTTGTTTTCTTTTTCATTTGAAATATACCGTTGCTGGCAGCCTTTCTTTATTTCTAGCAACATTTAACAGCCGATTACTTACGTCAACTCTCAACTTATTATTTCAGAAATTGTCATCTATGAACATCAGCTGAAAATTATCGTGTTTATGCGTAGTACTTGTGTTTATTTTTATATCATTGCAAGTGATAGACAAGATGGCAACAGGAGTAAAACCTCGTGACGATGAACCAACTCTTACAAGAACTGATATTGAGGCAATTCAAGAGGCTATGAAAAGTAAGAAATTTCGAGAAATGTTAGCCGACTACTGCGATGAAGTACGTGACCCGGCGAATCAAGCTCTCTATCAAAAAGAAATGACCCAATTGGAAAAGGAAAGGGGCTATGATATCACTTTTATTAATCCAAAAGGTGGCTATGTTATTAAAACAAGCGTCGCTGGCGATAGAAAAGCGTTTATAAACATTTGTAGTAATGAGAACATCGGCAAACCATTACATTCCGTCGAGAGCGTGAACGGCCAGAAAGGTATGAATTGGCAAATCCCTTATTCATTGATCCCTCCAAGGGAAGATTACGATAACAAGAAACAGCGGTGTATAATTTACGATGTTGTTTTCCACCCTGACACATTGCGCATGGCAGAGGTTAACGAACGTTTTCGAGAAATTGTAAACAAGACAGCCTTCGATGGTCTTCAAAGTACTTATAAAATCCATTTAGACATTAACAATTGTCGTTTTCCTAAATCGTTTTACAAAGGAATGACAACATCTGCAGTTTTTAGAAAAGAAGATCCTAACTTTAAACCCCCAACAGAAGAAGATAGTAAGGAACTTTCACCGGAAATAATAGAAAAATTGTATCCTCAGCATAATTACACAAAACAAAAAGAGCCACAGGAAAGTAGTGAAGTTAAAACTCAGGCAAAGAGAAAAGCTGAGCCTGAGAAAAAGGAGTTCTCACACTCAATAGATGAAGGCTACACAATACCTAAGTATATTATAAAACAACAGAAAAATGTAGACTTACAAGACTACACCTTTCATAAAAATAGCAAACAATATTCTGCAATCCCTAGTCAATTGGTTGTGGAGATTAACTTGCCATTGATTTCTTCTACTAAAGATTGCATTTTGGATGTAAATGAAAAATCTCTAAGTTTGGTTGTGGAAAAACCCGCAAAGTACAAACTTAATTTGACACTTCCTTATCCAGTAGATGATAATTGTGGTAATGCTAAATTTGACAAAACAAAACACATGTTAATTGTCACTTTACCAGTAATAAGAAATGTACAAGACAATGGTCATGACAATTTGAAATTGTTAAAAGTTGACAGCGGTGTTGAAAGTGAAGAAAATTCTGGATCCCAAAGTGATGAAGATAATACTAATGGGAAGAAAATTATTGTATTAAGTTCTAACGAAACTTCTGATTCAAATCCTCCTGAATTAGAAAAAGAAACAATAACAGATGAACCATTCTTAGAAACTTCCATTAGTTATGTACTGCCTTCTTATACACATAATATCTTAGATGATGTTATTGCATTTACTTTCCATGTAAAGAATACAGAGCCAGAATCTGTAATGGTGAAGAATGATGGAAATGAAATTACCATAAAATTCACAACAATTGGTTCCGGTTTTGTACCAGTGCATCATGCAGCTATTATTGTCTTTGGTGACAACATAAAATTCAAGACGGTGAATGGAGAAGCTTGGGATAATAATGTCATACTTCAGCTAGAGCTTGCTGGTGATATACCACAAAGTTTCAATATTGGATTGACTAAAGATTCCATGACTACTGAACACCTAGATGCATCTCAAATAAAACAGTCTTATCAAGTGGAAGAAAGCAATGTTGTTAGTTCTCAAGATGAAGTTCAATCACCATTTGTTGAAGTTACTAACTTAGGATTGGAGACAAATATAGTTGTCTCATCTAACTGCGGTAAGGATGAAGAATGCGAAAGGGAGAAAGAAAATGATATTGTTTGGGTGAATTCTGGTACATGTGAGAATGGTGCTAAGAGTATACTTCGTAAATCAATGTCAATGATGCGTAGCTTTTCTGAATCCAGTGCGGGTGATGTTGCATCATCAATGGACTATATTAGTTCTGATTATATCCCAGAAGAGTCCAGTTTGAAAAAGACTGTTAGGTTTAGTGATGTTATTGCGAGGCAATTCTACAGGTTGGTGTTTTAATTAGCACTACACATAGTAAATAATATGTGAATCAGATGTTCCAATTGATCATTTCTGTACAAGAGACAACTAAGAGATGTTACAAAACTTTTCCATCCATTGCATTGTTACGTTAAAACAAATTAAACATGTTTGTGTCTAATCTTCAATTTTCCATTAATCTAGAGATGTTATCTTATCTCCCTGACATAATCTCACGTGATAGGCATGTTTTGATTATGTCAGTTGTGTGTAGAATTGTATCATAGAGGAGTCATTTACCAAATACAAATATTTTTTTTTTTATGTTTTCAGATATAATTCATCTATAGAAGGCCAAAAAAAGAAAAATCAAAGAAGGAAAAGTAAAAAACGGAACCAGGAAAGACGTAAAAGTGAGAGTGAGGCTGAGGAAGAAACAAACAATTCTATTAAGGTAAATTTTATACTTAAAATATCTAAACTAATTCTCAAGAAATTGTGTCCATTACTTTACTATTTCTTTTAAGGTTGTAATTTTTTGTTGAGGAAACAAAATACACATTATCATAATCCAATCCAAAGTACTTTTATTTTAAAATATTTACCTATTGATGATTTTAATAATTTTCTTTAATATTTCTTTTGTATATTGTGACTTTGGTATTTATTTACATGTTAAATGTTTCAGTCATCAAAACCGAGGTTAAAATCTGTCCTGAAGCAGAGACGTGACAGCGGACTTGCTGATACATCTGATGCTGAAGCGGAATGCAAGAACATGCCATCAGACTCGGAGTTATCCTGTGACAGCACTAACAGTGGCAATAAAGATGTTAATGCTAATGCCGGAGACATACCATCGTTAAATGTTGTTGATAAAAACGGAAATACAAATAATAAGTATGAACCTCACATATGGAAGTCGAAAAACCAGCCCATTACCAATGTTAAGAAACAAAACCCAGTAACTTGTGATAATATAAAACATACTACGGATTTCTATAATCCGGAGAAACTAAACAAAGGTCAATACACAGAAGTTATGTTTAAGAATGATCTCATATTTGATTTGGACATGTGAGGTAGATGTCCAATTTCAAAGAAGCCATAAGTATATATTTTAATTTAGTATATAGTTGCACCTGTAGTTTTGTTGTGTAGAATTTGAATTGGGGTATATTTGTTTTTAGTATCTTTCCATTTTGTGTAATTGTTTCTTTAAACTTAAAGATTTCCTATAAGTTAGCTGAGTTTATGACAATGGTTTTGTAGTAAACTCATTTACTTTTGTAATATTAATTTGTTCATCGTTTGAGTCAATTATTGATTACAAAGATACATGTATTTACAAATGAAATAAAATTAAGATTTCATAAATTTTATAAATCGAATAAGATAAATGTAAAACTTATTTGAAATAATTGGGTATTGATTAGAGCAGGCTCATTTTTGGACAATATTTTTTTATAAATGTTGTTTAAAGGTACAAATTAGATTATTATTGTGGCAAGACACATATATTAACTGGCAACACCTACCTCTAGATTAGTTTATATGAAACAAATCTTTTTACACCGTCATAGAATAAATATCATAGAGTAATAAAGTTTTAATATTAACATTTTTATTATAATAATTTTTAAATCTTTTAGAGAAAGTATTACCCGGCCACAGGTACAAAGGTACTTGCTCAATTCTTGTTAGTGCCTTGTTTAAAGTATTTTGATTGATTATTATTAGTATTGGGTCCAGCTGTGAAACCCAAATGTTTAATTGGTTTGAGCTGTTGTCATAAACCATGCATTTAATTTTGTTAGTACGTAGTGTAGTGTGTATTTAAATTTAGATATGTTTAACAAAGAAACTTTAAACGGAGAATGTGATGATTTAATTAATGGTTTAATAGAAAATCAAAATATTATAATTTTTTTTTCATTATGACTAATCATTTTCCTTTTATTATATAATCTTTATTCAGTGGGTTTTATCTGCATAATATATCCAAGAAAGCTATCTCCAGATGTTAAATGATTACAAACACAAGTATATTACACAAACCCATTTATTTCCCATCAGTATTCTAAAGGTCAATGAACCTATTTCAACAACACTGGGTGCTGATCTTTTCGATTTATTCACTTTAATATGAAAGTAAGGTGAATAAAATGTTAATTTTTGTCAACTTACCTTTATTATTATCTTCTTTTATTAAAATCAAAAAGTCATAAAGAATATTCATATAAGTGTGATCGTGGGCGAAAGGTACGCTCATTAGTTCACTACTTCCGCCACGGTATAGCCCGTGCGCTGTCGTCGCAAAGCAATGATTTGAATAAAACACCTTTGACTTTATAGCGGCATAACCGAAACCAAAACCGAAGTAAAAATTATTCACGATAAATAAATAACTGAATACGTAAATTTACGTGGCCATTTATAAAATATATGTCAAGTGAGAAGAAAATATTCCGTGCGTACATTTCAAGGTTTTTTCCCCTCAAAATAAAGCTAAATGAAGGTAATTTATTAAATTTAACAATCTCAGTTTGTTGGGGTTTTGCATCTGTCGACGATTATTTAATGATTGAGGGTCCAATAACATTAAGTTATGGAGATATTTTTAGTGTCGTAAATACCGTGCCGAGTATTTCTGAGCCGCATTTTTTTTTCATATATTACAAAGTATAGTAAAAAGTAAAAGCGATAAGAGATCTGTCTGTCGTCTTCATGTCCTTGTGTGTGCTCTGACAATTTACGTGTCTCGGATTCGATTATATATTAAAATTTCAAAACAACTTTAATCTGTCTGTCACGTACGTTTAGCATATTTGATAACGTTTTCAATGATATTCAAGAATTCGCGAATTATGATAGCTTATTTAAAGTTAATATTTGGGAATAAGACTTACTTAAGTCTAAGTAGAAAAGATACTTATATTTCATCAAACAAGTCATGAAATGATGTCTATTATTCTTCACGGTTATATATAATTTTTATGCATACCTTTATAAGTAAATAATTAAATTAGACCTGAATAAACATACGACGTACAAACGTAATAAAATAAGTGTTTTTCTGGAATGAGTTTTGTAAAGACAGCGCGTGCCATTTTTCCCTTTGAGTAAGTTTGTTTGTCGGGAGTAGAAATTAATTTTGTGCAATTTCTCGGATGAAAAATACGGGCTCTGCACAAAGAGACGACGTAGACTGTTTTTGCATAGGGAAGTGAAAAGTGTTTATAAAACTAATTTTGTCTTCGTTGTATATGTTAGCAAGTTATTTTTTATCTGTTACTGTAGACGTCTACCAAAATTTACTTTTAAATTCATCTTTTTTTAAGGTTAAAGGTTTTCTTGTATTGATCCTATTATAAAGTGAACAAACGGTATGTTTCACGAAAGGGATCAACCCTACCTGAGTAATTATTCATACTCTCCGCTACCTATTTTACTTTTCGTACTTCATGTTTAACTCCTTAAATCCTTATTTTGAAAGGGTAATCCTGAATAATATAAGTACAGGAACATATTCGAACCCTAATACAAACATTAAAATGTGTCATTGTTAATAATGTATATATTTTCTTTGGTTTAAAATTGAGGAATGCTTCCATTTCTTTCTAAGCTAAAATATCACTTCATAGATTCGTCAAGGTGGGACTAAAAATATTTTAACAATGGAATGTACCGCGCCTTTTTACAGGATCCTTTCCCCGTAACCAGTTTTAGCAGATAGGTGCACCATTTTGCTTTACAAAGTAACTAGCTGCCGCACGTGACTCCGCCCACATAGTATTTAAAAAAATCTTAATTAGTGACCTATGTGTTCTTCCAGACTATGTTCTACACCTATGCCAAATTTCAACGAATTCCGTATAGTTGCTCAAACAAACATCTCTCCATCCATCCATCTAAATATTCACTTATAATATTAGTAAATGAGATTAAATTAAAGAAATGTAAGCTATATAAACTGAACAACCCATTATTTTATTTTACCCGCAGCGTTCGTAAACATAATGCCGATGAAGTTATTCTATCGATTCCGCTGTTAGTTTTTATCGTGGAACAGCGAAGTACATGCTTTTAAGATAATAATAAAAACGAATGGTTATCTAAATATACCCGGTTAAATGTCGCAATTGCTTATGCGATATGAATATTATGATGTAATTCAATATAATACATTTGTACAACACGACTAAATGTACGAGTTACCTACAGCCCTTTGTGGACAATGAAAAGTAATTCTTCGAAACTAATACTGTATTCTTGCGTCGCGAATATCGCGTAGCGCGCGCTCCGTACTCGTATCGTTGCATCGGCGACGCGAGTCATCTATTCGTTTATTACAGGACTATACAGCTAACACGAATTTGTAACATGTCAACTGTATAATTTTGCTCCGTTACCTTGAAAATCGCAGTGACTTTTCTCACGACGATCTTGATAAACAGATAGCAAACGACTGGCTTTGGCGATAGAGGCGATAGAACAAAATGTCGGCGACTCATGCCTGAATACAAATCTCTACGACATTGTATTGCATAAGTCACTTGTATACTATAATCGGGTTTCAAAGATTTACGAAGTCTTGTGTCCGAAAGGCCTAAGTTATCTATCTACCGCTACTATAGTTGTAGGAACACCAGATTTTAATGGATATACGATCAGCAGCAGCTGCGAATTAGGTGTCGATGTAACGGTGTTCAAGGGTTACAGTTAATGGTGACCCTAACAACAGAAAAACAATTATTGCAGTTGTTATCACCCAATGTAAAGTAGCTGCAAGTCTCATAATGCGAATGATTGGTACTAAACATTGTGAGTATTCTTAGAGCATACCAAGTATGTATGGCAATGCAACGGTTGGAGCTTAAGCTACAGTATTTTAAATGTTTACTTACTAATATGTAACAAGCGCACATGTATAAATAAATTAAATTTATGATTTATAAAACGATGCATCAATGGAAATGGAACTTAATAGTCAATAACTGTGAAATCTTGTAGGAAATTACTAACTGTGAATCGGGCAATTTCCGTCCTCGTTTGAAGATGATATTGGCATACAGGTAAGCCGTAATTTAGAAATGTGGGCATATTATCAGTCTTGATTGTTGTTTTGCAGCGAGTATAAAAACTATTCATACCTACGCTAAAGACCAGTCTACCACGATGTTTATTTTGATATTTTATATAAAAGCAAACTCAGTTTTTTTTTAATTTTCTTCTACTATGTTTCGTTCTTTCATTATTCCGTTGCCAATTATTTTGTGCCATTGCCAATAAAAGAATGCCTATTCTTGGCCGGTCACGAATCCTAGGGCGGCTTTAAAAAGCTTGATAAATTATTACCTACATGTTATATTTTTATTATATGCGTCAGATATAAACTACTAAAGCGATATTCGGAAGATGGCTTAAGCTTTGTATGGTGATTAACCTATTCAGTAGCTTAAGGAAACATTATCCTGAATGTCGATTTATTGGGCACGTCTGTTGACATTGTAACTTGTCAAGAGGATCGTGGACTGAGTTGTATTAGCTTAGAGTGAGAGCATGTTGACATGACCTAACGTTTGACAAAACCCTTGCACCCTTTTGTTGAATTAAAGTTTCTTTAGTTCAATATTATATCCTATTCTATGTAAATAGGATAATATATCGATATTTTAATGTAGAACTTGGAAAACAATCTTTTAATTTCATGTGTTGACTTTGATGAGTACCCTTACTGGAAAATGACATGTTTGCAAGATTACTTTCAGATAACGGAAAACATAGACAACTGATAAACATATAGAATTGTAGTTTCTGATTTACAGAACATTTCCAGAAGAACATAAAAAGCAGGAAACATACGTATAAATGTAAATAAATAATTCTCAGTATCCATTATATTGTGTAGACTCGTACGATGGCTAAGAAAGGGCCTATCGTTCCGTTGCGGAGTTGTTACTCAGTTATCCTAATGGAAATCGATACGTTTACTATTATATAAAAGACTTTTCCTACGTGTTCCGGCTCTGAAGCATTAAATCTGTAGGCAATATATTTCTCATATTCTATTACAAAATAAATATTTTAAGCGTTATATTGATTTACATGGATCTATATAATTAAAAAAAACTAAATTTAGCCTATTCTAGTCATTCCAGTCTATGTTCTACATCTATGCCAAATTTCAGCAAGATCCGTGTTGAACAACCAAACACTCACCCATCGATGTAGTCGCAATTTTTCGTAGGTTTTAGATTAAATGACTGATGAAATATTTACTACAGTAAAATGTAAAAAGTACGATACTAAAAATATTTCCTAGAACATAAAAAAATCACTTGTATCTTAAATAAACCAACATCATTATCTCTTAATCTGAACAAAAACATTTTCCAGACATCGATGGCAGACATTTCAATCCGTAAGTCCGGAATCAAGGGAATGATCGGACGTGCAAAATTAGAACGCATGACCGGACACGCCTACATTGTTAGATTGAAATATAGATATATAAGTATAGTTTACGCCATTGTTGATAAATAAATTCATAACAATAAAAGCAGTAAATAATTTCGCAAATTTATTAAACAATACCGTAACTCGGCATCTTATTCACAGAATAATAAGGCTGGTATTTAAAAATTACGTGCAATTTAAAAAAAAAGACTGAAACAATTCCAAAAGATCCACATCATAAATTGCATTTATCGATAGTAATTCTACAATGTGTTAGTATGCCAATAATATAATAACCTTGATATAAGATATAAAACAAATTCTTTAAATATAAATATCGATAACACGTTGAAGTAACTACGCAAACAATTCGCCAATAATTCGATTGTAGGCGTCAACTTATCAAATCAAATTTTATCAGATTGGATTCCAACACGATTGAACTTTGTAACC